TTTTTCTATTTTCAATAATTTTTCATAAATTTAATAAATTACAAGTAGCTACACTTTGATTTTTAAATATTTTCTTTTTCTAAAAGATTTTTTAATTTTAATTTTAATTTTTTTTTTCCTAAATTTTCACTTGTTTTTTCCTTCCTTCGTTCAAAAGGGAAAAATTCACATTGAAAATAAAAAAATTAAAAACGAATAAACTTAACAGTACGAATGCTCAAAGTTAACTGAACTAAACAAAAAAAAATAAAAACAAAAGTAAGAATATTAAAAAAAAAAAACAAACAGAAAAAAAAAATTTCTTTTCCATTTTTCTCAATTTTGTTTTTTTTTTTTTCATTATTTTGCGTTTCTTTTCTTTTTTTGTTCAGTTGCGTTGTATATTTTTATATTTATATGTATATACACATGCACATAATAATAAACATACAACCACATAATCAAATATACTATTTATATATATATATGTATATATACATAGGTATGTGCATGTACAAATAATTTATGTATATTGCATCGTAAAATATCGCATAGGTATACAAAGTATTTTTATATACTCTCAAATGTAAGTACAATTTATGTCCATACCAACATATTATATACGTATATACATACGAGTATGTATATATAATTTTCATAGTAACTTCTATGGATGCTACAACTCAGTTCATTGTTAAAAGAATAATAGGAAAATAAGGAAAAAATAAAATAAAATAAAAATCAAAAACAACAAATTGGGAAAAATTTTCTGTCAAGAAACCATAATAAGAGAATGAAATAAAAAAAATAATGGAAAGCTTTTTGAATGGAAGAATATTAGAAAAAGAAAAAGTAGTTAATTTTATACATACATACATACATACATATACGTATATAATAATTTTATGTAAATAAAAAATATACATTTATACATATATTACATTAAAAAACAAAATAAAATCAGAAATAAATCCAAAAAAAAAAAATTCTTTATACATGACATTTCTATTATAATATTATCAAGTTTACATGATAACGGTATCGATAACAACAAAAATATATTGAATACATTGAAAACTCAAAAATATTATTTTGTAGGACGCCTGCCTGGCCTAAACAATAATATTAATACAAAAACAAAACGGAATGAATGAAATCAAAACAATGGTAAATGTTTATTTTATGAATCGCCTGTAGTTATGCAATTTTATTATATTTAATATTAGAAGGAAAAAAGATAGGTGCATGAGTGTCGTAAAAATACACAAGTATTGTTTTTTGATTACAGTTCGTAATTTTTATTTAAAAATAAAAATAATAATAATATTGTAGTTTTTTTTTTGTATTTTAATGATAAAAAAAAAATAATTTTTACAAAACGAATTCATTTTCAATTCAAACGAAATGAAATAAAAAGTTTATTAGCTTGTAGCTGTTAAGGAAGGATATTTTTGAAGGAGCGTTATGAAATCAATTGCAAATACAAAAGAAATGAAAATTTTTTAAAATAGAATATTTATGCATTTTGAAGAATAAGTTAAGTGGATAAAAAAATAAATGTATTATTTTTCGTATTAATTTATTTATGTAATTAAAATAAAATTTAATTTAAGTTTTTTATTTAAAGTAATACAGAATTTTCGAAAATGATGTTACTCATATAATATTCAATACTGCCTTACATAATATTTAAACGACAAATTTTTTGTACATAGTCGTACTTTTCTTCCCATCGTAATCTGTTATTTAGTATACTGCATTACATTTACGGTATGTACAATGATATTTTGTCAAAATTAAAAATCTATGAACATTTACATATTGTAAATTTAGATAACAAGAGTGAGGAAAATTTCAAAATATTAAACTCAATCTCAAAAGCACGCAATATTTTTAATAGATGCTCTTATATTTGAAACTCATTATTCCCAAATCAATCCAAATAGACAATTATTTGACAAAAAGTAAAATACGCATCAAATCTGAAAACAACTTCAATTCTTTTTCTCTTGTACACATGGTTTAAAAAAATTAATCGTTCTATTATCTTATGGTTAACATTACTTATATATGAGTATATAAGTATAATGTATATAGATATAGAGGTATCAAATATGTATATTTTTAAATAAAATTTCAACTACATTTATTTATCCTTATTATTTTTATTATAATATTATATCATTATAAATTTTGTAATGGATTTTATCCAAAAATAAAAGAAATAAAATAATTATAATAATATGAAAATAAGAAAATATTCATTCATATATACATACATACAATATTATTTGTACATAATATTAAAATATTATTTTTGAGTACCTACTTGAATTCACAAATGCGTCGTCTCAATATTTAAAATGTACAAGAGGAGTTTTTTTTTTTCGTTTTTGATTTTTTTTTTCCCATATTATTGTATTTTTTTCCGGAAATTCTCATTCTTTTTTTTTCTGCAAATAAATCACAAACACGTAGATCATAATTTATTTAAAAAAAAGCTTACACTTGCAATACATACAATGTAAAAATCAAAATAAAATTTCATTTGGAAAAATAATATACACTTCTATCTTTATCCATATACTTAATATGCATTATAATGGTTAAGCTTATTTTTCTATAACCATATATGAAAGACAAAGAAAAAGAGAAAACATTATACTATTATAAAAAAAAATTATAATATGAAACATTATATAAATATAATTTGTATAATAATATGCACATTGTTAAGGTACAAAATTTTATATACATACATAATCTTATATATACATAATTATATAAATGCACATTAGAAATTCAAATTCATATTAAATTTTCATATAATTATATTATTAATTACATAATATTGTCAAGTACATATAATGTGACCATTATTTTGAAAATATATAGTTATCAAGTTTATATTTTTCAATATTTATTATACATATCCTATAAATATTTTCTACATACATATATACATGTGTACATATAGCATATAAAATTTTCAGATGTTCATATACCAACTTGTTGTAAATAAAATTGAAAAAGAACAAAACAATCAAAATAAATTAATTGAATTCTAACAGGTGGGCTCGTATAACAAAACAGAAAAAAAAATAAAATAAAATAAAATGTGTTTATATTAACAAAAAGCTTTTTCACATTAAAAATATTGTTTTTTGTTTTTATCTAAAATCGAAATCTTAAACTTGCATATACATACACACATTATATTAATATTATTTTATATAAATATAAAAATACATTGTGTGCATATATCTAAATTATTTATATAAAATTTGTATATTTTTTTTTTATATTAAATAATAATATAATTTTATAATTTTTTTTATTTCCGTTTTCAATTCATAAAATACAATACATAATATTATATGTATGTGATTATGTATGATAGAAATTTCATGTATGATAGAATAGTATGTAAGAAATTTCATAATTTCTTTTTTTTTGGGCTATTATGAATTCTAAATACTAATTATGTAATTATGAACTTAAAATAATTAATTGTATAAATTTTAAATTAAAAATGTCTTACGTATAGGGGATAATATACGTTCTACGTAAGTTACATTTTACTTTACATATATACAATTAAATAAATAATTATTTAAATTATTGTATTCAAGTAAATTTATTTAATTTGCCAAAAAAAAACAAAAACGTAAGGAATTAATTTTACTTTAAATAAATTGCAAAAAAAAAAAATTTTTACCTTAAGGAAAATTTCATATTAAATTTAAATTTAAAGAAAAATTAACAATTTTGATTTTCAATTTTCGTTATACTTTTATTTACTGCATACTTATGGGAGAAATTGACAAATTAAAATAAAAGAAAAATTAAATTTTTAATTAAAAAAATGTAGCAACACTTTACAAGGGTTTCCGAGAAATAAGTTTTGGAAGGGTTTTGGATTACATAAAGAATTAAACAGGCTCACAATAATGGTTATACATATCCAGTGTCTTCTTCTAAATATTATTTTGATTTTTAAGTCCTTCAATATTATATGATTTTTCCTTCTTTGATAATTTATAAAATAAATAAATATGTACATATTTGAATTGGTAACTTTTAAATATGCATTTGCTCAAACTTATTATATAATTGGAAAAATTGACTAACTGCACAAGTCTATTTCAAAAGTTATCTGTTTCGTAATGGAGTCATTTTTAAAAATTTCAAATTTAGCAAATTTTTCTAATATAATAACGATGCAGAACAATCGTATTCCTGGAACTAAAGAGTATTTTACGTCTTTTTCCAGTAGACAATGTATCGTTGTAATAATTTCATTCAAGTTTTACCTACCAAATGTAAAATTTATTTTGTTAAATATTTAGTATTTGTTTTAGGTATGTGCATAGATATTTAAGTCTCTTATATAAGTAAATAAAATTCAGAGTTTAGAAATTAAACTTTAAAAATTTTCTTGACGTGTTAACCATCTACTTAATATGTACTATTAATTGAACTACGATACTCACATTAAAATAACGGGAATATGAACGGGTGTATATAAACCGTTAAATTAATTAAAATTTATTAAAGGTAGAGAGAAATAGAAATGAAAATGATTGAAAATCAGATGCAAGACAAAATAAGATATACTTATACAATTTCGCTTCAATCTGATTTTAACCTGATAAGTACCCTTAATCTTAAAGCATATGAACTATAAAAGATTAAAATCTATTTGATTTTTTATAGTTTAAATACTTTTGATACTGCTGTAATATTTACGTTAACTTATCGCTGAATTTTAAACTTATGTACATATGTACTTGATCTCAAAAGATAATTGGGTGTTTCAATGAAGAAATTATGAGTGCAATGTATTAATATCAGAATACTATAATTTTTCCAATTTGTAAGGTGTAAAAGGTGATTGTTAATTTCATTCTGTTGTAAAATTAATCCAAATGTCGAGGTACATTCCGTTAATAATAAATTACATATATCTTCAATTAGTCGTCCTAAAAATAGCAAAAATATCAAATATATATACATATCAATTATTTTTTTGAAATAAAACTTTTATTTTCTTGGTCAAATATCAAATATTTAAAATTATATTTATTTCATACATGACCTTCCAGATCTTAATTTAAAATACAAAAATCCATTCTGCTCAAAATCTCATACGATGTGGGAATTGATTAGAGCCAAGACTGAACAGATTATTTAAATATTTAACCAAATATTTATGTTCTGGATGAGCTTTAATTGCTTTCAGTACTACAGCATCCACTTCTTTCTGATCTTTCTTGCGTTGTTCAGTTGGAACATATTTTTCTTTTTTGGCGGCGTAAATGTCACTACCTTCAACATTTTTCTTCTTTCTACTTACTTCTTTTCGGGCAAAATATTTATCATTAATATGGGCTGGAACTTTGAATTTGCCAAGATCTATTTTAGTTTGTGTTGCAATAACAAAACGTTGAGAGACACGACGTAATGGACATGAATTTATTCCAAATGGACCAGTTACTAATAATAATCCAGTATCCAAGACTTTCAATAAAACAACTCGTTTCGCTTGATGTCTTCCGGCGAGCATAATCAAGATACGGCCAGGTACCATAGATTTCCGGGTGTTTCTGACATGGCGACTAAATGAGGCACGAGGTGGCCTTTTGAGAACTCTTTTCTTTGTTGGGTAGTTAGCTTTAGCTTTCTTCTTATAAACCACCCTAGTTTCTCCATTTTTTGGACCGCCAATCTTCTTCTCCACTTTAATTGGGATCTTCTCCTTTTTCACTTTAGGACTTTTCTTGCCAATCAATCTATACAAAGCGCGTCGTTTGTACATTTGACTTTTGGAATAGCGCATAATTCCACCCCCCAAACAGGTATTTATGGGGTGCTTGCGCTTCTTTTTACCTTGAACTGCAGGTTTTTTAGCTTTTTCTGTGGGTGCCATTTTAAAAACACGTGTACGCCGTATAAAAATTTTTACGAAAAGGAAATGTCAATTGTCAACCTATATGTCAATTGATTATTTGACTTTATTTCAGTTATGATAATAACTGAACACGGCAATAATGACTAGTTGACATTTATAAAAACGCTTCCTTTTTGTTTTATAAAAAACCATTCAAAATAATACAAAAGATGTGCTACATAATATATATTTGTTCACAATTCGGATAAAGTGTAACCAATAATGTAAAATTTTGGAGAAAAGAAATATTTTATATTAAACCTTATTCATGTAATTTCGAAAATGTGTTTATTATTTTTAGGCTACTCAAACGAATTTTACACACGGTAATTTTAAAATTTGTGTCGATTCAAAGCATGAGTTTTCTAAAAAATATTGATTCGATTGCAAGTTTCAACTTTATAAAGGAAAGTAATTAGCGGCATCTGGTTTGTATAAACTTAAAATGTATTAGAAATTGTAATTGTGCTTTATAAAAAATTTTGCAATTTCGGAAAAATAATATTGCTTTTAAATAATGAAATGATTTATATAAATTTTCGATGGAGAAGCTATATACTCGATTTTCAAACAAATCTATTTAGTCAAGTTCTATTAAAAAAAAATTCAGTTTTGAAGTAAAAATTTTTAACCTCAATAGTAACTACTTTATTGTATTTGAGTACGTTATTATATTATATAACAAACTGTTGTATAACATATAAAAGTAGGTATGTATTTATCCCTAAATATAGTTTCTGAGTTTAAAAAAAAAGAGTTGTTTAGTTATGGGCTTGTTTTCACAAAACATGGAGACGCATTTTAATATGATTAGTATTTTTTATATTGACTTTATGTTTATTTAGAATTGTCAAAATGAGAATTTTAACATTTTCTGACAGTTCATATTTGACAATTAATGTTCTATTAAATGTCATACACAAGCTAATAATGTAAAAGTAAACAAAAAACTTTTAATTTGCAACAAAAGGATGAGAACAAAATACTTGAAATAAAAATAAACAAATTATTTAAGTAGATAAAATAATTGAAATATTAAAATGTCTATTAGTTTTATTGATTAAGGTTGCTTCATTTAAAGAACATGACGAATCAATAGTAGTAATGAAAAAATGGTCATTAAACATTATTCTATGGAATTGATATTATAGTCAAATGTGCCCGAAATATCAATATGCCTCAGATAGTTGGAAGATAGATTTATAAATTTTTGATGCACAAAAGGAATATTGCAAAAGGATTTTAATATAAAAGAAAATATGTTTTGAAAAATTTCTAAATGAATTCACACGAAAAAACTATCATGTCCATCACGAATTTCTAATATTCGTCATAGTGCTTTTTTAATACCATCGTGTCAAGATTAATACATGAAATAATTTCGAATAAATTTTCTCAAATTTTCTGAATATGGATTCTTCTGATAACCACTCATTTATAGTAGGAAGTAGCTATAAAGGATATACCCGAAGTATTCTCATAGGATATACTCGAAATTAATAACTTGAAAAACATATAAGAAAAGCATTTATTACTGAAATATAAAGAATTTTTAATAAATGAAAATATTATTTTTTTTATTATTTAAAAAGAAGACATTTTTGAATAAAAGCACACAAATTTAAGTTTTAAGACCAAAATTATGTTCTAGGTTTCTAATATATACCCATTTTTTGCTAAGCAGTCGCTATATATTCTTAAGTCGCCGTGGATATCAGTGATATAGTGACTTGTCAGCCGTTCTTTTATTTCATTTCGAATATGTACAGATGTATGTATATTATTAAATGACCATAATCATAAATATAAACAAACTAAAATACGTTTGGTATTCTTTTGCTTTTTACTATTTTATTGTTCGCTAGTCAACATAGCATCCACAGTTTTTTAACAAATAAAAAATTTTTTTTTATTCTTACCGTATAAGTGTTTTATACGTGTATACATTTTTATTTAATCTAAAATTTTGCATATCGGAGCAGTAATTTATAATAGGAATAAAATGCCAAAAAAAGACTTGAAGATTAAACGTGGAACTTGCATACTAACTGAGGAACCATTCTGTTATATATTAAAATCGAAGTTTCGTAAGGAAAGATGTGATTATTGTTTACAACAGTAAAATATTTTTTTTAAGTGAATATTACTAGATATAAATGTAAAAATATTTTTAGAGGACATGTGAAAAAATGTTCAAATTGTGAATATGCATATTACTGTAACAGATTTTGTCAAGTAAATGCTTGGCCAATTCATAAAGTAGAATGTCCATTTTTAAAAAAGATTGCACCTAGAGATGTTCCAGATGCAGCGCGTATGTTACATAGAATTATATTACGATTACAAAACGGTGGAGATCTAATAAAAGGTTATTATACTGAAACATGCTCTCGAAAATTCAGAGATTTGATGTCACGTAAGTGCATTTTAAATTTAGAAATCAAAATTTGAGAATTGTGACCCAAAAATAAAATAATTATGATGGAATATGTTTTATTTATATAAGCATAATATTTTGTTTTAGATTATGCTGAAATAAAAAATGATGCTAAACGTTTAGAGCATATTGAATCATTGGAGTCAGTTTTAATTGATCTTTTGGGGAATAATTTAATGCCGAATCATACAGAACTATTGGGTATTTATGGAAGGGTAAGCGAAATGAATTATTAAATGTACATTCATCAGGCCTTCATTTGAATTATTATGTATTTCAAAATACGTCACGAAAATGGTATTTATAGGTATTCGGGTGTGAACTAAGTGTAGCGAACATAAAAATAATTTTACCGGTTTCTTTTTAGTGGAACAATGTGTGTTTTTGTGAAAACTAATGTTTCTTTTTATCATTTCAAATTTTTTGGAAAATATCCAAATTTTTTTTTAGTTTAGTAGAAAAATAGCGCACGGGATATTGCAGAAGATAAATGTTAAAAAATATTTTATTTACATACTCACCTTTGATATTGGAAAATATAAAACCATTTATAAAATGTGAAAGAAATAAAACTTTATAATGGTCAAAAATGCATTTAACAAAATGACTTCCAAATTTAATGAAATCAGGGTATTAATTTTATTTTCTATACAGATACAAAATTTTATTTTCTATCTACGGATACAGAATATGAAAAATATCAATTTCTAATTAATAACATTAATTATGATTCAAAGAGCAATTTAATGTTTGATTTATTTACTGTAATAATTCAATTAGGTAATAATTAATTGCTTTTATTACTGATCAAATGCTGATGCGCTTCATTTAGTTTCTTCGCCTGTAAAATTTTATTTATTTTCCATTTAAATTTTTAAACTTTTTGGGTATTTGCCAAATCTTTTTCATGAGAATCAATAAAAATATAAATATGTAATATATTTTTAAACTATATTGAAAAATCTTAAGGAAAAATGGATATTATTAAAAGTTCAAGTCTAAAAATACTTTCAAAATGACAATTTTTGAATGAGACAAATTCGAATCAAATATGTAGTAGTTCCACTATGATGTTTACTTTAAAATAAATTGACTGTGGGCGTTTAATATCTGTATAATTATCGTGTTACACTAATCTAATTTTTACTTCAAAAATTACTTGTAATCCATAACATGCCTTTGAAACAAATGATAATAATTGGATTTAACTACAATTTAATAATTTTATTAAATTTGTTTTATACAGTAACATATGTATATTTATAATTCTATTAATGACCCTATGTGTCTTTTTGTATTTAAGTTAATAACCAACGGATTTAACATACTTGATCCTGAAATGAATTCTGTTGGAACTGGGATCTATTTGGGAGTTTCAGTTACAGATCACAGTTGTACACCTAATGCTGTAGCTACATTTGAAGGTACTACACTAAAAATTCGCCTTACTAAGGATATACCATGTCTTGATTGGTCAAAGGTAATTTGCAAATTCCAATAGGGTACCTAACTTTATAGGATTTTACAAAAATTTTTATAAAAATTACATTTTAGATCTTCATCAGTTACATCGACCTTCTAGATACAGCTGTTCAACGTCGACAAACTTTAATGGAAAATTATTATTTTTTGTGTACTTGTTCAAAATGTATAGATGAACAGGAGATGCTTGAAATGGTATCACCAGCATGTCAAAATAAAAAGTGTTCAGGATTTGTCAGTTTATCGAAAAACGAATGCCAAGTATGCAAAAGAATTATAACAAAAGATTTTATTAAACAATATGAAGAAGTAATGGAGTTTACAAAAAATCATTTAGAAAACATGAAAGAAATCGCCTGTAAGTTTTTTATTATACATTTCGTAATTTTAAATTAGTTGCCTAAAGGTAATTGATTTTTTTTTAATTTCGTTTTTTAGATTTGGATGTTTGCAAAATATGTTTAGATAAACAAAACAATGTACTACATCAACTAAATTTATGGCGTATTAAGACATTAGATTCGGCTTTTGAAAGTGCTATAGAATTTAATAAATGGGCGGACGCTATTGAGTTTGGATCTCAACTGGTACCAGGGTTTAAAAAATATTATGGAGAATGTCATCCTTTACTTGGAATGTTGTATACGAAATTAGGAAAAATTCAACTTTATGAAAGATATCCCAAAATAGCTTTGCGTAATTTTGAGGAAGCTAGAAAAATTTTAGAAATAACACATGGTGCTGATCATTCCATATTTAGACAACAATTAAGACCGCTAATATTACAAGCATCATTAGAAAATAACGAGACATAGAAAATTTAACATAAAATCTATTTGTAAATATTTATATTGTAATAAACATTTTGCTATTTAAAGTTTCTAATTAGTTTGTACAATGAATTGAATTTGCGTTAATTAATATATAATTTTAAAATTATGTTGACTGCACGTTAAACAAAAATTATTCATTTAAAATAAAAGTATAAGAGTCATTTGAGTACCTTAACATTTTAAGTAGATTTTCTTTTATAAATATAAATATAAATATAAATAAAAAATAAATACAAAAAAAATTTTATTTTTTTTAGCTCGGTAATTTTAAACTTCAGCAGATAGGGAGGGTTTTTTTTTGGTAACATGGATTCAAAATTTCATTCATGTATTTTATAAGGCAGTCAATTTTATTTTCTTCTTGAAATGCATATTGCAAATAATTTCCAATTTTAAACTTTTATTCAATATTAACAATCACTGGTTTTTCAATTAAGTATTTTATTTTCTGTTTTAAATTTTTGCGGGAAATAAAATGTTTATGTGTGTTAATTATAAAACAATATAAATGCAAACAATTTTATTCCAATTACAAACAAACATTTTTATTCGTTACACTTATCTCTCATATTTATTAATTAAAATTTAATTTAAATTTCATGTTTCACACAGGTGTATATTTCTTTATGGTTTTTAATACTTACAAGAATATTTGAAAAACATGCATACGTATATGTTTATAATTATAGTTCAAAAGGTAAAGAGTATCAAGTGCATTTAAAATTCATTTTGTTTTTTTTTTTAAATAAAATAGCTAAGGAATGAAAGGCACTATGATAAAATTAAAACTTTTGCAATAAAATTTTTGCAATTTAACTTTGATACTCGGTTGGTAAAAACGTTCTTCTAATTGTTAAATTGAATTTACTAAAATATACCGTAAAAAGAAAATTTAATTATTTTAATTTTAATATTATTTTATTTTATTAAAAAAAATGGTTTACCTTATTAAACAAGCTTTTAATCTTATATCTTATTATGAGCAGAAAAAAGGTTGGATTAATTTTATTAATTTTAAATCTTGTAATTTACAAAAAAACTATTTTTTAATTTTATAATATTATAATATAGTGTTATTTAAAGTGATAAAAGTGTTTACTGAAATAATGTAAATTTGAAATACATAGGTATAATGAGAAACTTTTAAGTTAGGGGAAAAGTTCCGAAACAAACGAAGGAATGTGAATTTCGGAGTTACCTTTTTAGAGGAATATTTAAGTAGTTTCATATTAATAAGTGATTTTGATGAAATTTAATGTTTAAAATTTTTTAAATAAATTAAAATTCAAATCTTGTAATATAATTTTAGTAAATAAATTTTGTGCTTATTTGAATTAAAATTTTAAGTTTTAATCGTGACTATGCAAAATGTTAGGTTTTATTTTAGATTGTGGATCATGATTCCTCTGTTAATTATTAAAAGGACTCTATATCCAATGCAGATTAAAAGGACTCTATATCCAATGCAGATTTTGTATAATATTTTAATTTAAAAAATAATATTTGTATAAATTTTATTCGTAAATAAAATTACAGTGTCTTAAAAAGTACATACTCTAGGCATGAATATTTATTAGAAAAACTTTTTGATCCATTAAACTAATAAAATATATTAAAATATTTGCAAGTTCACGTGCGCTTACTAAAGCTTCTTCAACAGAATTTTGTTATAATTTAAAATACCATTTAATAACGAACAAAGAAATTAATTTGTATACAAACCTATGTATTTTTAAATAATGTAAAAAAAATTAAACTGAATAAATACATATTTAAATAAATTAATTATTTTTAATAATTTTTTTTTTTGTTTTGTTATAGATATGAGAACTGATCATTACCTATTTTTGGGGTCACCATTAAAAACGATTGCAATATTAGCATTATATTATTATTTTGTTAAAAATTTAGGACCAAGACTAATGAAAGATCGTAAACCATTTCAATTGAAAGGTGTATTGATGGTTTATAATATAATTCAAGTAGTAGCCAATGCCATCTTAAGTATTTTGGTAAAAATCAAAAGTAGTTTAAAATTTCAATTATTATTACAATTAATTTTATTTATTTTTAGAGTATATATGCATTCTTTTCAAATCCAGATCGTAAATTAAGATGTTTATTGAGTGATTATTCAAATACAGATATTGCTATGTTTGAAGCAAATTTAACATATGCGTATTATTTGTTAAAACTTTCTGATCTATTAGATACAATATTTTTTGTTTTGAGAAAAAAGAACAATCAAATAACATTTTTACATACTTATCATCATATGTGTATGATTGTTGGTAAATATAATAAATTTATTATAAAATTTAATAACATCTGTTGCATTTTCTATTGATCGAAAATATTTAAATAATTTTTCGATTCTATTTTGCATATACATACTAATATTGCATTTATAACAATTATTACTAATGGTACTAAATATTTTCGGTCAATTGTTTTCAACGTTATTACGAGTGTTATTATTAATATTATTTTTTTTTATAATATTTAATTTAAGGTACTTATGCAACTGCAAAATGGTTACCAGGTGGCCATATGGGAATAGTTGGAATATTAAATAGTTTTGTACATATTTTAATGTATTCATACTATTTTATAGCATCAATGAAACCTGAATTAAGTAAATCTATATGGTGGAAAAAATATATAACACAAGCACAAATATTACAATTTTCAATATTATTTGTACATTTCTCGCATCCATTATTATTTGGTGATTGTAAATATCCAAAGTTTTGGATGATATTTGGTTTTGTACAAAATACTTTTATGCTAATATTATTCTCAGATTTTTATTATAGAACATATATTTGTAAAAATAATTCTAAAACAAAATCTAATAAAATTAAAAATATAAATGAAAATAATAATCATATAGGAAATAAAGTAAAGTAAAAATGATAAACAAAAAAAAAATAAGAAATTTATAATAAATTAATAATGAATACGTTTATATAAATTTAATATATACATATATATGTATATAGAAATTATAAATTATATTCTCTGTTATTTATGTAAAAATTTGCAAAAATTTCAACCTTGACTTTGCATTTTAATCTAACTAAATTGTTTTAAATGCATAAGCAGTATAAATATGTATAATACTTGTATATTAAACTTGTATATTAAACTTGTATACTAAAAAAAACTTTATAAAATTTAATATTTTTTATACATTCACATTGTATACTTATGATAATTTAATTAGTTTTCAAAATATATATATTTTGGTGAATAAATTTTTAATAAAAAAAAAAAATATATTTATAATATCATAAAATTATTATACATAAAAAAATATTCTCTATTATTAAAATAATATTTTTTAATTACATAAATAATATTTTAAATTAATAAAATTTTAAAACGTAATTATATAGAAAATAAAAATAATTATGTATAAAAATTATATTTGTCTAATTTTTTGTTTATTTTTGGCTTTTAATGCAATCATTATATAATCAAAAATTTTTGTTATACCTTTTTCCAAACTGAAATTTTTCTATAACTAGCAAAATATACTTATACATACACATGTACATAAATAATTTTATTAAAAATATTAAGTCATTCTATTTCATTTTATGATTTTTACTTTATAAATTAAATTTTATTCATATAAATTTTTTTTTTCTATATTGGGCATTAAGTTAAAATAAATAAATCCTTATTTATCGAAATTATATTCAAACTAACAACTAATATTAATTCAAAATTCATGAGGTCTTTTTTGTTTATATTTAAGAAACATTGAACTTATGCTAAATTTTTTTTTTATATAAATAATTCTAATACAATCTAAATCGGTCTATGATACTAAAATATTATTATTTTTATTATATAAAAATTGATGAAATTGGAAATATCAATAAATTAATTGAATAAATCTATATTTTGTGTAAGAGTGTTGTTAAAATTTTTTAATAAAAACACATTTATCAAAAGAATATTTTTAATGCCGATTTTATTAACAATATTCTTTAAAATTATATGAATTGAATCAATTATTAAAAAATAGATTCAATTGTATTTACACTATAAAAATAATTATTTAAAAAGAAATTAATTGAAAAGATTATTTTACTTTTTTATATAATATTAATAGTTAGGTTATTACTTAGTAATTGTCATAATATACAAACTTAGTAATTGTCATAATATACTTAATTTGTATATTTAATTATTTATATATAAATTTTCAAAATTTTTAATTTCTTTATCGACTTTGTTACTATAGGCATTGACTTTTAAGAATTTTAATTTGAATTAATTATTTTTTTTTTTTGTTTTTATAATTTTAAACAACTGCTTTAACCATGTGTTGTCTAACATAAAATATAATTGATAATTTAAATGAAAAATTATAGTTTGGCATTTATGAATAAAATTATAATGAATGAACTAAAGTAAATTATGATATATTTTGCAAATTGTTAATTTTATAAAGATCTGCTAATTTATTTTCAAAATGAAATCAATTAATTAACAAATATTAAAATAAAAATCAGAAATATTACTGTAAAATTTCCAAGTTTTTAGATTTATAATAATATTATAATATATAATATTGTATATGTATATATATTATAAAATATATATAGGGTAAAATATTTATTATGATTGTATTTTCTAAATATTTAGATAGTAATTATATAAAATATAAAACTGAATAATTAAATGGAAAAATAAAACGAATGATTTGAAAATTATAAAACTGGTGGAAATCACTTAAGTCAAATATCCTATATTCTATTTATGAAAAGGAAAAAACTATATTTAGATGCACTTATATATAGTATTGATGCACATTGTAGGAAATTTATTTGTGAAATTATAATTAATAATTATCCAAATGGATAATTATTAATTATAATTTAATTTAATTTGAATTTAAATTAATCTTATGCTCAGTATATATATAAAAGCTACAATATATCAAAATTCGATTTAAACTTGTGCATCAGCACTTTTATTACAATAAAAGTAGAGATTATATTTTCCTCTCTAATATTACAAAGGCTAATATATCTATAGAAGTACGGATATTTGATTTTGTAAATATTTATTTATTCACTTTCACAAGTTCCAAATATTTTGTTTCTTTTTATTTTTACACGACCTAAGCATTTTTAATTTTTATAAAGTTTACTTGATATTTCTGGATATTGTAGAAATTATTAGTTATAGTATATATTCAATTTATTTAAAAATTTTTAAAGGGAACCCTTTTATTCCTGATTGCAAAACAATTATATATTGTATAGTCGTCAATCCAGTTAAATTGTTGATGTTATTAAGAAGTATGAAATGTTACGCAAGGTTAGAAAATAAGCATTGAGAATTTTCTGCTCATATATGTACATACATAGATTAACTGTGTTACTTAAAACTTTTCTTTACGAAACAAAAACAAAAAGTCCAAAGTTTACAGTTGAATCATTAAAAAATTCAATATTCAAAAATAATTATGGTAATACTTCGTGTCAAAAATAAAAAATTTAGAACTTAATGCTCCTCTGGATAATATCAATTTGCCAGTTTTCTTTTAAATAATAAAAATTTAGAAATATGTCGCATAACGAGCATCACTGACTGTATGTACGTAATGCAAAATAAATTAAAAAAACATAAAATATCGATAGATTCTTTTTTAAACATGCAGCACAGTTAAAACAGTCCACTTTTTTCGACGTCAAATTTTACACTATGGATTTTTGATGTTAGAACTACTTTTCATTTTGACTGCGGCATGTTTGCTCAGATTTACGTTTAGAAACATAAATACTGCATAATAGTGTATAGATCTAGGAATTAAGAATACAATTTTTTTAGGTGCTATGCAATATTCTACAATGATTATATGAAAATAATGATTAGCAAAGAAAAACTTGAAAAGTTTGTATTTTAAAATGATCTCAATTGTGCTTTATAAAATCGAAACAACAAACCTTAGTTCTTTTATATAGTAATTAATGTTTGAACAAATACAAACGTTCTGTATTTCATTTTTAAAATTAATTGAATTCGAAATAAAGTTCAATGTCGGCAAGATACATGCATTTATTCAAAAAGAGAACGATTAAACAAAACAGATTTAAAAATTATATGCCTATATTTTAACCTTTTTGTTTATACTTTTGATGAACCTTAAATGAACTTTCTATATATTTATTTTTTAACAGAAATTTACGTTCAGTTCTATATTACATAGTCCAACACGTATTAATGAAACTAAATCACATTTTTGTTTTTCTTTTCCAATTTGCTTATAGTATATACCTAGAAATTTTTCCCTTTCATGGACAAGGTTACTGAATAGAATCCAATAAAATTTCTTTTATGATATTTGACTGGCTTAGTTTAATTTGTATTTCGAGAGTTAGTGATAATTGTTCATATTGCTTAAGTTAAAAATGCTTACCTTGTATTTATGTACGATATTGCGTGTAATCTAGAGTCTGCAAAATAGAGAAATGAAGATTAAAAAAAAAATAAGTTTTTATAATATAAGATTTTTTTACATAATTTATCTATTTCTTGTATGTACATACATACATATTGAATTCTTCTGCATATTAGGTTTTTCTTTTAAAATATGATGTTAATTAAATTTTTTAATTTTATTATTTCGATTTTGCAAATATAAATTAAAAATTCAAAACTTAAAAGTAACAATATAAAATGGAGTCATTCACAATAGTATTATTTTAGTTTAGTGTCAATTAATAGTTTAAAAATACCAATATTGTTAATTATGACACATGGTTCAATCCTGCAATAAATTTTTAATTAGTTGGCAATTTAATTGTATTTCAAATCGTTTGGGAAGTTAAAATTAGATAAATTTGGATGACAAGCTCTGCAATGTTGTCTCAATAAACGAGAGAATTAAATTTAATTTCTTAATAAATAATTTTATTATTTATTAAATTTTTTTAAATTTTCATTATTTATTGCAGAATTTAAAAAATAAATTTTTAGTATTGGTTTAATTACTTTTAATTTTTTATTATAATGGTTCGCAACAATAACATTAACAGAATTTTATTTTAATGAATTTGTATGACACATCCTGTGACAACATTAAGATTTAAAGTAAGGAATAATAAATTGTATAAAGTAAATTTAGAAACAGAAGAAGTAATTTAGAAACATTTTATATTTATACAGAAATTCAAAAAAAAAAAAACAATAGTCTGTGTATAACACTTAATTTTATAAAATTGTAAAATGCTAATGAGTAAAAAATTGAATTACAATTTATTTTGGAATTGTTTACTTTAATTTATTTGGCATTAGCATTCTAGCCAAGAACTTCATTCCGTTCGGTTCTTTTTCAGGTTCTAATTACCAATTTCCGATAACTATTGTTTTTTTTTAATTTTTTTTTTTTTTGAAATAGTTATCAAATCATTGTAAAATTAAATAAAATTTTTATAATTTTAATACAAATAATTTATTTTGAATGCTTATTATAATTTTTATAAGTGTTATAAATTAATTGTCTCGGGCATTGTTACATAAACAAAAGATAAAATAATAAAAATGGCATTTGTTGTAAAATCAATGTACAATGGTTATACATATTTTATAAATGAACATCGTGATCCTAGAATTGATAGCTTACCTTTGGTAAGTTCACCAATACCAGCAACAATAACAATTGTTATTTATTTATTATTTGTTAATAAATGGGGACCAAAATTTATGGAAAATCGAAAACCATATAAATTAAAATCTATTCTAAGGATTTACAATGTACTGCAAGTAGTATTCAATTTAATTCTATTTGTGACGGTAAGTTTATACTTTTTTTTTGTATTATTTTCTGTATTTAACTCAATATATGATTTTAAAATTAGTAGACTAGCTTAAAATTATTATATTAATTTTTAAAAATTTCATAATGCATAATATTTTTATTAATTTAATTTAATTAATGAAAAGAAATTTTATAATAAAAGTTTAATATATACTGAAAATCGAAATGATTTAAGCTTCGAATATTAATCTAATTAACTGTGATTTGAAGAATTCCAGCAGAATAATTCCATTTTTAAAAAATTCTGGGTGTTTTCTAGGTTTACGTTTATCTATTTTTTGATTTTTATGAATTCTATGTAAAATTCAGCATTTTTCCTGTTTTGTTCACAGAGTTTTCTACTTTACTCCTGCTTATTTGAGGTCAATGGCTTATATACATGAGCCATTGACCTCAAATATCTATTGTGAACACATAATTCAATATGTTGCCTAAGCTTTCTACTTATTCTGTTGAATCTATCTCTATTGTAAGTAAATTAAATTCAATAATTATTATAATACAAATTTAAAATTTTTTTTCAAAATTTTATTATGGTTAATGTGTGTAGCAAAATTTTATTTAAAGGCACAAATGGACTGCACATTTGCTTTAAGCTGTTCATATCTGCAATACAAGATAGTCTAGATAAGTCACAGTTAATAACATTTTCCCATAAACTTTGTAATATTGCTAATATTTTATTGATTTCAAGCACAATTTGCGTCATAAAAAATATATATGAAATGTGCTTAAGATTCTTAAATGTCTATAATAATTTATAAAATTTATTAAATATTTAACAATAATTTAATAACTAAATCCGTTTCTTATTATTTTCAAAATTAATGAAAATTGAACTTGAAGTTCATTGAACTAGAAAAAGTTATATAAATCCAATCAGTTTAATTCCTAAGTTACGTAACTGTTATAAAATTCGTAAAAGCATTTGTAATTAACTTGTGCAATTAATTGAATATAATTTTTAAATTATTTCATTAAAGTCTTATTGAACTCATTTAATTAAAATAAATTATATACAATTTAATTACAATTTAATAATTAACACAAAAAACAAAATAAAATTGTTTAAATTTATTCTACAAATAGTAGCGAAAGATATAGCGAAAGTTATAGCGCAAATATTAAAAAAAAATTATCATATTACAAAAAATATAATAAATTTGTTTACTTAAATATTATATTTTGCGTTTATCTATAAATAAATATATATGATTACATAAATTCTAAGCGTGTGTTTAATTTAATAAAATTATTAAATTGTTTTTGTTTTTGTAGGCATTATTAAATTCATATTTTCAACCTGGATTTCATTTTACATGCCAAAATGTTGATCATTCGATAACTGAACCGTATATGAGGCGATTGTTATTAGCAAGTTATGGTTATTATTTAACAAAGTATTTGGATTTATTAGATACGGTAAGTATTATGTATTATTTATTATATGTATACATGTAGGGGTAAATATATTTTAACATTTTTATATAATCATTTATAAAAAGTATTAACTAAATGCAAATAAAACTGAAAAAGATCAAGGAAACTATAGATAGAGTTCAATTTTGTCTTTTACTTTACTTTTTTGTAAATTCGTATAACAATCAATTTATATAAGGAATAGGTTGAATTAATTTTAAATAGGATCATGTAATAATTTCAATATAAAAAATTCAAATTATGAAGCCAAATACACATCTATAATAAATTAGTGCGTATGCAGTATTGCTATAATTAATTTAATTTCTTGATAAAATAATGTCGTAAATTAAAATAATTTTGATACTTCTACAAAATTTCAAGTGTACTTTGTGCCGAAACGAATATGAATAATAGCTGGTATATTATTGTCATATTATAGTTCTTTTGCTATATATAACACCAATTCGGGATTGGTAATGCACTTGAATTTTACAAAAATTTATAAAATTGATTACTTGAATTTTATTCGTAAGACTTGCTTTTTTTTAAAAATATCCGCTCCCTTAATAGAATTGTGAGTGAAAGGGATTTATGATCTTATCACATTTATGATCTCACCTCAGTGATTCAGCGGATAAAACCCCAAAAACAACCTTGTTATTTTCATTATAACAGTTTTTGATAAAATTTTGAAATACGCATATATAAATAGAATTTTCATATATAAATATAATTTCTTCATTTTATGCTCATTTTGATTATAGTTTAAAATAATATGACTATTTGGCTGTATAAGTATTGGAAAACATTTGTACAAGTATCATAGAGTTGACCGGGTCAATACTATCTTTTCTCATTTAAAAATAAATTTACATTAAATTTAATTTACAAATAATTTGCATAACCTTTGTAAAAGTTGATGGTATGAAAAATATTTTATTGATTAACTTTGATCAAAATTATATGTATGTGCTCATCTACATATATCTATTAGCCATAGAATTTGGAATAAAATTAATTTTCTTAAAACATATACATACATACATTATGTAAATATATCTACATAGATATATTATAAAATTACCAAACGATTAAAAAGTGAAAATGAAAATATTTACTTAAGAATTAAAAATATTCTAAAAGTTCAATGAACTTTTTGAAATTTTAAAATTTGCATATACATACATATAATTTGGACATACATACATACATACATATATAGAATTTATTTATGTAATATTGAATATAAAATTAAAGGAATTTTACCTATTGAACTTTTGATTAATTAAAATGAATTTTAAATCGTTGCCATATTATGTGTCTATATAATATATATGGATACATATGCATATATATGAGTGTATGTATGTATATATGTGTTCATAATATTTTAATACAAAATCAAATTATATAATGTTTTGTTTTTGAAGATTTTTTTCGTCTTATTTTATTATTTGTAGGTATTTTTTGTTTTACGAAAAAAAAATAATCAGATAACATTTTTACATACATACCATCATGCCGGTATGGTAATAGGATGTTGGATTTTTGTGAAATTCTTGGCAGGTAAGTTAAATTTATAAAAGAATTTAAATATCTTTTAAATAATATAGAAATACGAGTATGAAAGAAAAAAGACAAGATCAGTAAAAAATTTCATGTCATGATGACTTATAATATACTTTAACATTTTCACCAACGCCATGTGGCTATTGGCTCCAGAATTGATTCCTTTTGATTATTTTGTTTGTTAGAAAGAAAATTTTTTAAAATACACTCTAGATTATAAAATTCAGCTTATAAATGTTATTTGCTGAATTATGTAGTTGATGTTGTTATTTTCATCATTTCATTATCAGGACGACGCCCGTATTTTTTATGCTGATTCTAAGTATGTACGTCTAAAATCGCAGTAATATCGTATTAATACACAATTCAGCTAATATATTGTAATTGCTGAATTATGTAGCAATACAACGTTACTGCAATTTTGAAATAACGGGATGTGTATAAAATTAAATTACTCAATTATAGTTATTAAAACTGCGTAAAAAGTGATTTTGACGTTAAATCTGTATTTTGGTGGACAACTTTAGTTTTCTTATGACAACCATTCAAAACATGATTATTGGAAGATGACTCTACATAACAGTTGTCATAAGGAGCTTTCTGACATAGTTCAGTAATCAAAATCACATTTTATGTAAATCTTGTGCTTTTTAAAGTTATTTAAAAATCTATTGGGATAAAAAAAATTCTTCGTACAGGTATTAATACTTTTCCCTTCAACAAGTGATAATGATTAGTTTAAGATGAAAAATTGCATATATTTAGGATGATAAAAAAAAATTGAAAAAAAAAACGTCGAATGATGGTCGAATTCGACTGTTAAATAAGTGAGCTGAAGATAAATAATTATATTTTTTTGAAGGCTTGGAATTTCCTGTTATCTTTTCGCTTATATAGAAATTTGAAAGTATACATACAGCTTTAAAACTACAAGGCATCGAGAATTAAAACTTTGGAATTTTCGAGGAGCGATAGCATGGAATGTTGAAGACTTCAATTTATTCCTAATTAGAAAACTTTTACTACTTAGCGTTAAACAAGTCGTATATTATCAACAATTAAAGAATGTAGTATTTAAGACTTTGATTGGCTAGATATGTAAAAATCTTAAAAAAGGCTTATCTATCATAAAGGGTTGTAGAAGATGGACAAAATAAAATTATTAAGCCTTTTTTTCATTTTTTTTTTTAAATCATGTTAAATAGGATTTTTATATACTAAATTAGAAAACTCAAATTAAAGTGAACGTGTCTTCAGCTTTTCATTTTAGAATATGTTCTAAAAAAGTATTGCCCTCACTATATAACAATTATTTCTATAAAAACAAAAAACATTTTAATATTTTGATTAAATTTAGAATTTTATTGCAAACACCTTTATAAATTGAAATTTTATATTCAAACACATTAACTTAGAATTTATAATGCAAAAACATCTAACAAAAAAAAAAAAAGAAAACAAACTTTCTATTCATCTTACTATGCGACATACAATAGATCTTTGGCAATCACTTAAAAATGTTGCCAAAATAATATGATAAAAAATTTCGCAATGTCGGGCAATGTTAATGAAACCGTAAAATTGGACAAGATTGACATTGAAATATTTTCTTTATAGTTTAGTATGGCTTGTGTATAAAATTTCTATTTATATTTTATTTTATTTTTTTTTTATAATTTTATTTTAATGATATTATATACGAATATACTTACAGGCAAAAGTAATTTACGAATTATCTTAAAAAAATTGTAATTAACTACGACGTCATTATAGTTTTCTTAAATATTACGCGTGCTATTGTTTATTCTTTGTGGTAGTTGTGACACATAAAAACTATTTTTAAATTATTTGGTTTTTATTAAGTATTTTTTTTTTTCACACGCATAAAATACTATAAAAATTTTTTATACTTGATTAATTGTTCCCATAATTTTTTTTTTTTTTTTTTGTTTGATTTGCATAAAATGTGTTTTTGATTATTCCACTATGGAAGAAAGTACCCGTTCGGTGAATGAAGTTGAGGTTTTAATGTTATATTATGAAATTGTAGCGTATAATAGTTTTATATCATTTGTATAATATTTTAATCTCTTAATTATATTCACAATAATTGAACACTTATGCAAACAGCTCTGTTTCACATATAAATTTATTAATACACATTTGGAAATTAATTCAAAAATCATGTTAAGATTTAATGTTAAATAAAAATTTAATGTTAATAAATTTGGAAATTTTTGGCGAAATAAAAATATTCGATTGGGTAGTTCAATTATTACATTTTAAAAAGTAAATAACTCCTGCAGTTAAATATGAAAGTCTTTTCAATTCAAAAACGTGTGGAAAATAGAGAATGAAAAAATTGATAGCGGATTTTACGAAATGTTGTAACGAAACGATTTTGCATTTGAATATAAAAATTTTATGCAATGTGGAATACATTTTAAATTATACGCGAATTACTCATATAAAGGTATTGAGCATCCGACTAAAAATGAATCTGAAGAAAAACAATATTTTAATATGTATTGAGAGTCGAAGAGCACAATTCAAAGCACAGAACAGTCTTTCTAATAATGCAATAATAGCTCAATTGAAGAATATAACTAGACGGAAATACAATTGTGGAATTAATATTAATGTGGATAATCAGTCACAATGGAATTCTTTCGAAAATGAACATCTTTATTTATCTAGCGTAAGCTATGGGTTTGAATAAATCATTGATCTGAAATATATCCAATCTATACATACAACTGGGAAATAATTAATTAATGCGTTAAAATCTTACTAAATGCTGAGTGAATAATTCATACAAAAAATAATAAATTGAGAAACATTATAAACTATGGGTGAAAGATAAATTGCTTATATCATGAAGATATCTGGTTTTGGTATTATCATTTTTAGAAATTTAGGAACACTTTTAAGCTTAGATATTGATTGTAGATGAAAGAGCATTCGATTTTATGACAACTAGGTTAATTATCTAAAAATATAAAATTTTCAAGTTATCAAGTTGTAATATTAACCTCACGATTTGATTGTAAAATAATTTTTTATAAAAATGAAATGGAGCTACTCACTAAAATTTGTATAAGGACCTGTCTGATTACAATCCAAAACAACATAAAAAATTTTCATAATAAATAAAGAAATAAAATATTAAAAATAAAGTATTTTTTACTTTTATTCTTGTATACTCTTAATATTTTTTTAAATAATATTTTTTCATATATTTTTTTTATTTTATATCATTTTTTTTTTTTTAGGAAGTCATAGTACTATGCTTGGTCTCGTAAATTCTTTTGTTCATTGTATAATGTACACGTATTATTTTTTGACATCATTAAATAAAAAATTTAGCACGCTCTGGTGGAAAAAATATTTAACAAAATTACAATTATTACAATTTGGATTTTTGACAATACATTTTTCATTAGCAATTTTTAATAATTGGTGTAATCATCCATTACCAATCGCTTTTATTGGTTTTACGCAAAATATTTTTATGTTTTTATTATTTTCTGATTTTTATTATAAAGCGTATATTAAAAAGAAGGTGTAAAATAATAAAATAAAAAGTTTTAGGTTTTTATCTCTCTTATTTACTTTTTATTATATAATGTAAAAGTATTTTGTATTAAATTAAATAAAGAAAAAAAAATTACATAAAACCAGTTTTTTACTTCTTTTTAGCACTTTTTCAAAAAAAATTTTGAAAAAAATGTACTTATTCACCGTTAAAAGTTACCGTTATCCAAAATTAGTTTTTCCCAATTTTTGATATCGTGTCTCTTCTAGCCCACAGTCTGCAGGAGCCTGAAACTCCGGCCGCTTTTAGACACTAATAAATAGTTCATTTCATTAGAAGAAAATTTTTTCCGCCTCCACCCTCCTCTCAAGATATCACTTGTATTTCCGAAACTGCAAGCTTTTCTAAAGTTCTATAAATGCAGAAAGCCAACGGTAAAATGTCGTGCCATTTAAAAACAAAATTATTTTTTTTAACTCGCGCAATTACTTCTTACCGTTTGTAATGCTATGAAATAATTGATATAGACCCAACTATATGTTTTTGGTCAGCCTCGAATTCCATCCGTTTTAATCAGCATCCGTCAGCCTGTCTGTCCGTCTTTCAGTCCGTTCATCCGTCCGTCAAAAACTAATTGAGCTAAGTTCACTAAATTTTGACAAATGATTTATTATAGTAAATGCCAGATCGAGGTACTAATTCGGGTAGCTGCCATACAACTTCCAAATTTATTTGCCTATATCTCAGAAATTATAGGAGCTATGGTATTGAAATTTAATACAAGCGAATATATTATTAGGGCCATTGTATTCGATAAATGTCTTTGAAATTGCTTGGGTCCTTCTGATAATTGAACTTGAAAAGATATTTGGCTATATCTTAAAAATTGTTCAACCTACAGTATTGAAATTTTGCAAAATGAATATGGTAAAATGGCAGTTATATTCATTAAAAGTAGTTAAAATGTCATGAGCACTTGTAATAGCTGCCATAAAACTTAAAAAGGTATTTGGTATTATCTCAGAAATTATTAGGACCATAAAATTGAAATTTCGTGAAAGCAAGAGTATTATTAAGGCTATTCTGTGCGATAAAAATCGTTGAAGTTTCTTGACACTTCCATACAATTTCAATGGTAATTAAGCCATATCTTTGAAAGTATTGAAATCAGAGTACTGAAATTTTGCATAAATTAATATGGTAATACTTAAAGTCATAATCTGTTCCATATTCAGCTGAGTAAGAATTAGTAAGAGTAGCTTTCATATCTCCAATCGTGATAGTTCATCACTGAATTATGAAGGATGATTTTACTTAATTTTTCTATCTAAATGAAAGTGATAAGTAACCTTATATGAAACTTTCCTAAATTAATACACAGATTTTTTTAATCCAGAACTATAATCCTTTATTTTGGTTTAAACAACTTAAAATATTTTGACTTAAGAAAACTAGGGTATTGTTGTATCCCTGAAGGCAAAGTGAAGGTTAATTATATATGTATGTGTACACATAAATATGATATGAATAACCAAATTATTATATTGATGATAAGTAGTTAACTTTACTGTGATTTAATAAAATCGGGCTACAATTATTAATACCTATAAGTACCCCAAAATTAAGTAGCTTAAATGGTAGGAGGTAACAACAATGCTGGTATCAAATTTTTGAAAAAATGAAATTTTCTGTTAAGTGCAATAACACTTCTTATAACCTTCATAAATGTATATTTAAGAGTGCTTTATGTAGTATAAAAGTTTAAACAATAAAAAGTTCTTAATTTCATTTAATTAGAAACATAGTCACCCCCCTTAATAATGGTCTCTGACTCACTTAAAAGATTAGATAAATTTTCTATTCAATTGTTTGAAAAATACTTAATCTAAACTTTAAAACACGTAAAACACATTTCAGATTATTGCAATTATCATGACGTACTCAAGAATTTTTTTAAAATAAAAGCAGCTGATAATATATGCAATTTGGTTTCATATAGAGAATTATTATCCCGAATTCTATAGAAAATATTAATTATTTTAAAGTACTCTTAAACTATAAGCTTAGTTAATCCTTATAGCTTTCTTTATATTTGTACTATTTATAACATTTTACATTATTCCAAAGAAATCTTATAATGCTCTTAACTTTTTGTTTTATTCTACACTTAATTTAGTTTTTCTATTTTAAATATATTAATTAAATAAATATATTCAATTATTTAAGATTATAAAAACCATTTTGTTAGAAACACAAATTAGCTATACAAATTTTTAAACTTTTAAAAACATGTTGCTTGAATTCTTTGGAAATTCTTCTAAAAACACTAAAACCTAATATCGTAAAAATTGCAATTTCACTGTTTAACTTTAATAACTTTAAACTTTTACATCTGGGGTCTTGAACACTTATAACAAAAATGGCCCTAAGGTTCTGATACAATACAAATTTGCTAGTGAAATATGCTCTTTAACTCAAATAGGCCTACAATGGGTCTGTCTGTTTGAACCGGGCTTTGGAAAATTTCCAAAGGTATAAAAATATTTTGATGAGTTTCATTTTAACATTAATAAAACATCGAATAGATGTTAGGTATTTATACACATACACTTGTTTTTCAAAGTTGTGCACTTATTTTACGATATCAAATAATCTACATATATGCTTATAATATAAGAAGGACAATCAATTAAGTGATAACAAAATAATATTGTTAGATGAATTAAGATTAGCTTTTTTTTTTTGATTTATTGAAATGATTTTGCAAAAAACATAATAATGAAAGTCTAATTAACAACTTTAAAAACAATTAAATTAATACTTTTCAAATACTCAATTGTTTGACATGAGTCGTACGCCATTGAATGACCCTTATGTATGTTGACAATACTCAATATTATTTAATTATAACAATAAGGGTTTTGTATTTGCTTTTCTGAAATAAAGTAGTTCAATACAATCATAAATTTTTGTGCTGAGCTGAGCCGAGACTAAACGTTATAGTAATTATTATATAATGGAATTTTGTAACTTTTTACTGACCGCGCGTATACAATGAGGTAAGTTTATATGAAGGCACAAAATTTTTGATGTTAAGCTTTCGATCGGAACGTACTTCTCAATGGTAGGGAAACATAAATAATCTATTTTTAAAGAGATGTCGATCTGTCGGTCTGTCGATCTGTGTGTGTAGGAGTGTATCTCAAGCTCGGCTGAACTGATGTTGATGAAATTTTATAAGTGAGTTTATTTTGGCTATTTCACGTATTGATCAAGTTTTGGGATATATCTGACCTCGCGAACTGGACCAGTGAACTTTTCAGGTGGTCCTGGTGGTAAAAAGCGAAATTATACTAAGAGCCAAATTTACACTTTTTTAGGTATGTTAGCTAAAAGCTTACTAACTTCCTTAAAATTGAAAGGAAGTGTTCAAAATGCATTTTTATAATCTTCTGAAATATTATTAACGCTAAATTAGGCAATATACGAGTAGATTGCGGTCAGTTTGTGTTGACCACATCAGATTTTTTTAATATTCAATCTAATTTTTTATTATTAAATAGAAAGCTAACCTCCTTTTTAAGATTTGAAATGTGTTCGTAAGTAATTGAAAAATCTATCAATATTAGATTTCTTTATTTCATATTCTTGCAATTATTTGCAAAATCCAAATTATGCATCTAAATATTGGAAAATTTTACAATTTACAACAATAAATTCAATTAAACTCTATAAGCTTGTATATGAGAGTCATCTGTATTTTTCAATTACGACTGAAATGTATGTCTATATATAATGTTTACCTGTAAAGCACATGAGAGTTATATTTTTGTAATGAAACTGGTTAATCATCATTTTAAATATGTATGACTAAAAATTGAAATATTCCAGAAATATCCCGCAAAAAAAGTAACATTGAAAGATTCATTTAAAGAAGAAATAAAATTTTTTTAATAAAAATATTCCAGTATGAATGCAGATAAAAGATTTAATTTTAAACTTCTAGAAAAAATGTAGGTACATACGCATGGTATAAATACGTGAAAGAAAATACAAATTATAAGTGAAAAAATTAAGAAGAAGTGGAAATCATATATAAGCCATAATTGAAGTACATAAGTAATTAGTTGAAATATAAGTTTACCAAAGAGTTACAGAATTATGAATAAAAGATATATAAATTAAGTGTTATATATGATAATAAGTGTTATATACAAATAATATGGTATTGAACAATATAAAATATTTTAAATCAATAAAAAAAGAATGGTGGAATGAAAATTATAACAATTTTTTGAATAAAAATTACCAAATTCAAATTAAAAAAACTAAAGCAAAAATATTTATCAAATTATAGTGTATTCGAGCTTAGATTTCTTTCGTATAGCTTAGATTTCTATATCAATAATTGAAGGAAAGTATGCTGTGATCATTCAATTTTTAGTCAATCATCAGTATTCAATCACAATGTAAGTTAATAATTTAATTAATTTTATTATTTTAATTTAATAAAAAAGAAAATGGTATAAAAATTACAATTTATAACAATATTTAAATCTTCAATTATACAAGGAGATATCACCGTTGGAGCTTTTCCTATAAGAAGCTAATTGCAGTGTTAATAATATATCGTAAATCCTTCATTTGTAATAAGAAATTTTGTTATAAATGAAGATCATTTATATAAATATTAATATTTAGGCGGAATTATTCTGTATTTATAGCTAGGTGCGTCGAATTGGATTATTAAACTAAAATATATCATTACGATCTTGCTTATTATACTAAAAATATGCACTTATGTACAAAAATCATGTGGCTTATTAATATTCGGGCAATTATTGCGAGCAGTTTTCTTATTGAGCTGTATGTATTTTAATCGTATACGAATAAAATTGCTAAAATTTTACATCACTAAATGATGTACAACTATATATTACTATATGACGAGTCAATATGAGCTTTCCTTGTAATAAACACCTGTACATACCAACTATTATCAACTGTTTGTCATTTTAACTTGGTACTATGATTTAGTACAATAGTGAAGAATACATCTTTTCCGCTGAATGTTATTGATTTTTTCGCAATTAAATAACTATGCAATATTAACATTGCTTTACAAGTGCCTATATATTTCATAATGGGGAAAATCCATGATATTTAAACAACAAATAACTGTTTTTCTATTTTATAATTTAATTCAGTTGCATATTATATTATTCATTTCTTAACTTTACTGTAGATTACAAACCAACTACCTATACATAACAATAATAAATAATAAAATTTTCTATTACTTAACAAATCCCTCAATAAAATTGGTGTAGGTATTCTTTTAAACAAATTGTAATGAATTATCATTATTATAAGGGATTTAAGTAGGTTATATGAGAAATTCCCCTTAATTAAAATGCAATACTTTAGAAAAACAAAATAAATTAAGTAAAAAAAATATTCTTTTTGTAATTTTTAATCTCAATTTAAATTTCAATTTGCTTTTAATAATATAAACAAAATTTTTATAAAATTTTTTCAATATCAAGATTTTTTTTATTGAAATATTCATTAATTATATCGTAATTAATCATTATAATACGATAATCAATTGTAATAATAACGTATGTATAAGGAAAATACTCAAAAAGTTTACATTTACGTAGGCTATTTTTATTAGGGTTTGGATTGTTTACAATGATATTAACTGTTATACGTAATTGTATTAATTACCAATTAAAAATATCGAGTAAAAATTTTTAAAAATTTAACTTCTAATTCATAAATAATACTCATATTTTTAAAAATATAACATATACGAAATTATATACCTATAATTAAAGGAAAATCATCATTTCTAAGAAAAATAAAATTTTACGTCAGCGAAAATTAATAATTAATAAGAGAATTGTTCGATAGTTAGACGGTATTGACAATTGACGGTAACTATAGCGAAGATAATATTTAAAATCCAAAAAGGTGTTAATTTTAATAAAAACAAGAAAAAATTTAAAATGAATAATCATAGTAATTGGGTCTATTTCATATTATAAGTTTATTTATTTGTATTATACCACTATATTTAATAATACATATAAAAAATAGTGACGTCAAATTATAAGAATTCATTCTATACATTATTAATTAGTTAATTGAATCATACAATAATTTGTTATGGTATGTAATGTTAAAATATTATTATTAATCTTTATATTTCTGTTATAATTATTATATTCATATAACAAATTAGTGTGTATATATAAGTTATACAATAATGTGCTCTTGTTTATGTATATATGAAGTATAGATTCACACTTCATATATAATCAGTTGCCACACTTCAAATATAATGAGAACTTTCATATAGGTAATTTAGACAACTGCCTAAACAAATAAAACGAAATTAAAGGGGGAGGCGGAAGCATAAATGCCAATGCATTAGGATTCCATATATGAGGATTAATGATTTATTTCTATGGTGAAGGACAGGAGCTCGTTAAATTATGTTGGTGTTTGTTATTATTTTTAAAAAAGTTATGGATTTATATATACTTTTAAATGAAACAACTTCGCGGAAACCTTTACATTTAGCTATAATAAATTAATACTAATATGATTTGCAAGGTTCAAGTTACAAAACTATTTATGGTGAAAAACTATTTAAATCTGAGTTTGTTATGTATAACAGTAGCTATATATATAGAAGATAAGAGCAGGAATTTTAAAAAAATTAATGTTCTAAAATTATGGTTTCCTCAATAATTACAACTATAGTATCACATGCGCTTTGCGTGTAAAAAAGCACAGCAATATTTTAATTACAATAAAGAAATGTTTGAAATAGTCGTAGAAATAATCTAATAACGATCGTCCCACCCTTATGCGAGTATTATACGGTTATCTAATATATTAAAATTCATTTTTAGTTAGGAAGTTAAAATTAATTTCTCGAAAAATCGTTTGAATGCAGCTTCATTGTCCTCGTATATTTAACCAGAAATCAATTAAGTAATTTCCTATAGCCATTGATTAAAGTATAGCCAGCCTTACTTACGTTATACTGACTGATCTTCCAATTATCACCATCGTACTGTTGTTCTGCCATAATCTCAACAAACCATTATATGCATATTCGTCTAAACTTTCTAAATATTCCAGAGATAATTGGTTGAACTCCTAAAAATAAAAAACAAAGATTTGTAAATTATTTTTATAAAAATAAATAAAAATTTTAAT